GTTTATTTATGTTTCTGTTACCGAAGGGCACTTCTCAGACCTTATGGCGTATCTAAACTGATCCTTATTTTTGGAAATTTAACTTGCAAAGGAAAAATTTTCCCTGTTCATTGGTGCATCGAATCAAGCGTACATGACAGGGAGTACAAAAAATCCAGAATTTGATTTTACTGCCTAGTTTCTGTAAATTTTCGTAACGTATTCCAGGAGCAGATTCCTAACGAGAAGGTTCTCACCTCTCTCTCAACTGGCGCAAGCTCGGAAGCTGGAAGTATGACTGACGATTTTCGTTTGAAAGAAAAGCTTTACAAAGTTAAGGTATAAATTTTCATTTCTTTAGCCTTGTTCAGCTGTTGTAATTGGTGTTTTTTTTTTAATCTTGTGACTTAATGTAATTTTCAAGGGTTTGTGGTCGGGAGAGGAGAAGGACTCCGAATCAAGCTTGCCTTCAAATGTTGCGAAGGTGAAACCACAACCACAGTCTGGTTCGGAGCACTTACAAAGCGATGGGAAAGCTGCATCTAATGTGCAAAACGGATGTCATACTGCTCCTCCTAAAAGTCCTGGAATCGGTCTGGATTGTCAAAGTTACAATGGTTATTCATATGCTGACATCTCATTTTAGCACCGTTTCCTGGATTGGGTGGTTTTATGTTCTCTCCTTTCCCAGTAATGTTCGGAGATGTGTCAATGGGACGAGGCTACACATCTGTTGGTTCAGTTCTTCAACCCCTTATCCCTCCCTCCAATGCATCTAGTCCTCCAATCGGTCAACCACTTTATCAGCAACCCCCATCCCTTGCCGCTACTGGTGCAATGAATCAACGCCCCCTTCAAATTCGTTCCAATTATGTGGATCAGAACGCAATGTTCGCTACTAGTCGTAAGTCCCACAATTTATCTGCGATTAGATGTTGTTCGAAGCTTGATTCGTATAATGTGTTTTAGTTCCACCATCACAGAATGTTTCTTGGAATATTGGTAATATCGGAAGCATGTTAGATAGTGCATGCAGCGCTGCTTTGTCCGGAACTCCGTCACCGCAACTGGCGGCTACTCATATGTCAACATCAGTGCAGCATCCTCCACCGAATATGATACTGCAGCATCGTGGACCCGCACCAGCTACCATGGCACAGGTTCTAAACTTTATGCTAGATTTTATATACTCCACTTTTCATGATCTTTGTA